GAGTTATAAAATAAAATGGGTAAACAACACATAGTCATTCCAATGCTCATTTTCCTCTTTACTGTACCTAAGCTAGCTGTTCATTGTGAAGGCTTATTAAAGAACTATCTATATGCTTCAGCAGAAAGGAGGCTGACAAGAGGGTGGGCAGACATTGCCCTACTGTTGGAGACATATTCACTGTTCATTATTATATGGGCTCAGAGTCTATGCTGGGAAGTACAGGGGCATGAGGTGGAGGTGCTGGGACAGCCCTCATCCTCCACGTGTCTCAGGCTGGCGTGGCTCTAGGAGGTTCACTCATGCTTCCCAGGCTATTGCAGGTTCTGACATAGGAAATGGTGCATCAGCCAAGATAGCAGCACAGAACCATCCTCAGGCCACAGGGCAGTGAGACGCCCTAGACTCAACCACAGGTGAGACCTTGACCTTGACTGGATGTCTCGCTTCGGAAGATAGAGTGGGCTGCTTTTATTACAGGGTTACTGGAAAATCAAGTTCACATCTCACTTTATTAATCACCACTCTGTTTAAGGAATCTAGAGTTTAATTTCAATAATATGGAGGAAAAATACAAGTAGAAACTGTTGCTTGCTTGCTTTTTGCTTGGAAACTGGAAAAGCCCCTCTCAAGATCCTTGAATCAGGAAGAAAAGGAACGTCTCACAATTGCTCACAGGCAAGGGAGGTAGCAGGATAAAGGGATGGGGGAATAATCACTCGGGAAGGTCGTTTCTATGGAGTCTCAAATGACAGGCAGAAAATACTCTTTCCTGTCTCTTCCTTTTAGGATCTGGGTCAATCCCAAGATTTTAAAGATTTTTGTTTGCTGGTTGTTTTCTGGGAGAAGGACAGGTATTTTAAACTGCATAATAAAGGTGATCCACCGGGGCTATTTTTAAAAACATGGTTTCTGCAAAGTGAGGTTGCCATGGGAATTACTCATCCCTGTTCAAAGCCGGGGTAATTACTGGGAGAAAATCTTGCCTAATGTGCTTTTGTGTTTTCTGCAATGCTTCATCAAACCCCAGCCCCCTTGCGGGGTTGCTGTCAGTTTTTTTTCCCTCCCTTAACTTATAGTCTTCAGGTACCTGGGGCTTCACTATTTTCCCTGGAAAGAGAAAGGTGATTCCCTCTAGCACAGCGAAGTCAGAAGTTTCTCCTGTACAAGATAACCATTAAGAGAACAGTTTTATTTTATTGTTCCTTTGTGTGTGTTATGAGAATCACCGATAAGCCATCCTCTAATGTCCTTTTCCTTTCACTCCAGTCACTGAGGAAAAATAGCCTCCATTTGCACAATTTGCAGAGGGCTGGGTGGTTTTTTTTCATGTAGAGTGAAGAACCTTGCCTGCCACTTTACTGTGACTAGCATCTCCAAAGGCAATTGGGATTTTAATGGAAATTTCCAAGTGCTCGCCGGAAAATACTTTATAAGGGGAGCTAATGGTGGTAGGGTCTATGATTGGAATTTTTGTTCTGTGTTTATGCGCTCTTGTTTTTAAGCGGCTTTCAAGTTTCTTAATAAAAATGAAAAAGGCTTGCCGTATTTATAATACAAATGCCAGAATGCTGTCTCCGCAATTTCTGCTTCAATTAAATCCTTATCACGGAAATCCTTTGAAGAGGGATTTTCTGCTTTCGATTTCCCTGGCCCAGGGGCACTCGACAAGGGTGTTATGAAGAACACCAAGAACGGTGGGAACTATTGCCGAAAATGGTGGATCCTGAAAAGAATTAAGTCTACTTTTCTGACAACGTAGATCAAGTCAAAGCTTTAAGAAAGCATGGATAAGTAACAGGAGCAGTTGTCTTGCTGCCTCCCATCTAGGGTCCTCTGATGAAGAAAAAATACGTTTTTGACATTCCACTTTCCAAGTGGGAGCAATAATACATGCTGTACGGGATAAACCGTGTTATTCCAACTGTACCTGGGGAGGGTTCGCTTCGGGCGGGCGCTCAGAGGGGCAGGTCACGTTCTCTTTAGACTCCTCCTCAGCCCAGCACACACCTCTCAAGAATCTTTTTATGTTTGTCCTCACCAAATCAAAATACCGTGTTCAGGAAATATGAGAAACAATCACATTTCATTTTAGAGAGAAAATAAACTCATATTTCAATTTTGTGTTTCCGGTGGGATAGTGTTACTAGAGATTTTTAAAAGCATGTCATGGTTTTGTGACTTTGGCCATAATGCCTATCAGCTCTCAATCCTCTTCCTGGAGATAAGTGGTCACAACCACAGCCCAGACTTCTGGATTACAATCTGCTTTGGAAACAAAACAAAACCTGCTTTCTAGTCTATGCAAACTGCAATTTCAGACTGACTGGCTGAAGGCAAGACACTATCTTCCCACTTGTTTATCCACTGACATAAGACGTTCTGCTTCCATGCCCTGTGCACAGTGTTGAGTGGATTATAACTGTGAAGAAGAGAGGTGACAAGTTTAGTTAAAAAAATAAAAATAAAAAAAGCCAGGCATGGTGGCCATGCCTGTAGTCCCTGCTACTTAGGAGGTAGATGCAGGAGAATCGCTTGAGCTCAGGAGTTCAAGGCTATAATGCACTATGGCCGTGCCTGTGAATAACCACTGCACCCCAGCCCGGGCAACACAGCAAGACCTTGTCTGTAAAAAAAAATAAAATAAAATAAAAGATAAAAGTAAAGCCTCTAAGGATAGCTAAGGGTAATATGCAAGCCTCTAAGGATAGTTAAGTGTAATATGTCCATATCATAATTTTTCACTAGAAATTTAGAAGCAAAGGATTATCTCAGTTGAAATCTAATTAGTGTCCTGGAAGACCAAGCACAGAGCAAAAACAGAGAGATGGCAATCCTAGGGGAGAAACAAGCAGATGGAAGAGTAACAATTGAATGTAAAACAAATGGAAATTTCCCTGAGCAAATATCTTAGTTGGGGAGTTGAAAACACTCTCGTTGGAGCAGTTCTGATGAAAAAAGACATATAAGAAATATCCTAAGAAAGGTTCTGAACTCCAGTGACACACAGAAAATCTTGCAAGTTTTCCCAAACAAACAAGCAAACCAAGTCTACCAAACAAAAGCCTAATTACTAAAAAGAAAAAAAAAAAGACATTGGCATCAGACTTGTCATCTACAATCTTGGATTCTGCAAAGATAGTAGAATAGCATCTCTAGACGGCTGAAGAAAAATCAACACATGGAAATCCTTGAAAAAGAAGAGACATCCTGCACAGAAAATCATCATCATTTTCATCAAGAGCAACATGACTGAACTACGCAGAGAACCTGGGAACTGGGGGAGAGGTAAACGGGAGAAGTAGTATCACATTAGGGGAGGGGAGGCGAAAAAAAGGAGGAGAAAAGGGGGAGGTGAAAAAGGAGGAAAAAGGGGAGGCAAGAATAAGGAGGAGAAAAAGGTGAGGCAAGACAAAGAGAAAGGCAAGGGAATTCCAAAGGGTTCATCCCTGTGGGAAGGGAAAGAATGTAGAGAGAAAGAAGATCCTGGAGGATGAAAGAGTTGGCATTTTACTGTCACATGACCACAGAGAAATATGGATTTTGTTATAAGCAAAAGAAAAAGGGCAGTAACAATGTAAAGGAATAAAAAACACTCTAGGAATTCCGAAGTGAATGCTTGCAAGTAAGCTAGATGTTTTTGCAAACTCTACTGTTTAATCTCTTTAATATTAACGTACAATTATTAATCTTTCATTTTCTAACTGAACTGACGTTATGTGACCAAGCTGATAGATATAGTTTGATACTATGCATA